TGTGAAACGTCAGTTTAGTGATTTTTAGTGACTGGAAGGGGAAGACAACATTTCAGGAGGGCAGCTGAGTAGCACCCAACAAAGAAGCAATGCTTTTTAAGTTAATCCATTTAAGTAAATTTAAGACACATTTTGAAATTATTGATACTAGTTTAAGATTCCCCCTTCCACTCAGGCTTTGATAAAGTAAAACCAGCCAAATTCTGCTCTCCAGAGAGAGCAAAGCTGTGGTGGAAAAGTACAGCCCTCAATTATGAGCCTGCATCCACATCACTGCCTTTTAAGCGAGGTAGTGTGTGTTTGAAACTGCATGGATGGATTTGGGACAGGCAAGCAAGATGAGAGAAATCATTTTTAATCACACCAAAAATTTCTCCACCTGGTTACATATGAGACTATAAAATATCACCAATTACAAGAGCATTTCTCCCCAGGAACCCGGTTCCAGAAAGGAAGTAGAAATCCACAAAGGTACTCATTACACTTAATACCTTCATTACCATCTAATTTTTTTGACCACATTATGAACTCCACCATTAAATGCAGGTACTGCAAACCAGTTTCAATTAAGATTATAATCACTTGTTGACATTCAGTCAAACTTCTCAATTTGTTTTGGTTTTAAAAACACAATATAATACTTGTACAGTCTTCAGGCAGGAAAACCATATGTTTCCCCTCTAAGTACAGTTTTAACAATGCACGTTATTCATTGAATGAATCAATCTGCCTAAAAAAAATAAAAGACAAAATTGAAACCTTCAGCTTTTACGTGCATAACTGATGTTATCATAAGCAATTAGAAGATTACATTACTCCAAAAGTCAAGTTCATTTGCCTTAATTCAAAGCACCAATGTGAAAACTTTAGTCCATCTAATTAACCTCTTCCCATTTAAAACTAATTATCTTAAATGAGCCGTCAAACAATTCTGAACGCAATAAGAGGCGGAATGACTGCAAAATATTAAATCAGGCAAGAAGGAAATAGATCTGTTTATTTCCTTGTAAAAGCAATCACCTCTTCAATTGCAGAAGCAGTAACTTTGCTTTCAGCCTTTGACCTTCCAGTGTAGAAGTGACACTTCCACTCCCCTACAGCGGACAAGGTTCAATCTCTATGTTGAAGAATATCATTTTAGAAAGCTGGGCAATGTTTTTCATTAGCTATTTAGAAATGGTCTCTGTATTTAAGCCTCTCAACAGTCACAAGAGCAATCACTACAGATCAACTACGGACTTTGTAAGCCACCAGAAGTTACCTGGCAAGCTGTAATACAAAGAGGCAGTTCTCTTGTCGGAAGATTTTCACAGCCAGGTGATTTTTTTTTTTTAATATACTATCACCTAAACAGTTTGCTGTATTTAATCAAAAATATGTATCTACTAGGCAAGTTAATGATTCGTAGTATCAACTAAGTAAAAATCAGCAGTAAACTAAGTTTTTGACTCCTCCATCTTCTTTCATCTCCTGACTCTTCCCTATTTAAAGCTCATGCTGAATTCACACTTTCATCCTTTTTTCCTAACACCTCCTCTGGAGGGAGCAGACAAGTCTTCCTGACTCTCACTAGCCAAAATCTGCATTTTCTTATTTTGTCAGAAGACAACATACCTCTGGGGGGGATTTGTTCTGTGCCTCTCCCCAGGAAATACATACCTGGACTCTTCACCTAACCCAACATGAAACAGGAGACTTTGGGAAAGGAACTCAAACAAAACATAACAAAGGAAAAACTCCTGAAGTCTCACAGTGCAGCACTGCTACTGCTGAACTGTGACCTGGCTGGCTACTGATTTCCCAGTTCTTTTCTCTCACAGAAACTTTCTTGAGAAGTCCTTACATTTCAGATGGGCAATCCAAGGCGCTAAGGGAAAAGCAGTATCACTCGTGTCATAATTTAACTAAGTAAATTGATGGGCAATCCAAGGCGCTAAGGGAAAAGCAAGTATCACTCGTGTCATAATTTAACTGAGTAAATCGGAAAACTATCCAAATACTGAAAGCAGAAATAAGATTAGCAGCTTCCTCAGCCATACCGGGGGAATAACAAGGAAATACAGTGAATTACCCTGTCAAATTACTTCAAAAGGAAGTAAAGGCTAATTAATAGGGCTGGAAACCAGGGATTCTGCTATTAAGTAGTCAGCTACCAGGCTGCACAAAGTTGCGTTAATTTTTCTAAAGCCACATTTAAAAAAACCCACAAACCCAAAACACGCTCTAGTCATCATCTTACATGACCAGGAGGACTAGGCTAGAGATCTGAAAGTCTGCAACGACAGAAGCAAAGTGAACTAAATGGAAGTGTCCTAGTACTACAAAAGTAATTGTTTACTTTAAAGGAGAACAGAAAAAAATGCTTCCCTGTACGTATTATAATTCAAAGTCCATCAATTGATTCCAGCTCTGTCATGAAAAACAAAGGGTACAAGACCAGGAGTCAAATTCTGGGTTTTATGCTATCTCAGTTCTTGTAGTTTCATGCAGATTCTGGTCTGCATGACCAGACACAGCTGCCTAAACTTCTAACAAGCAAGTCTGAATTTAAGTGAGGTCCTGGATGTTTGCAATTCCCTTACAGAAAGCAACTGATATGCTGAGCGCCTGCAAGAAGGAATATTTAGCTACATATCTTAATTATAAGAATTTGTTCTTGCCTTAATGCTATTTCCCACAAAGAGGTAGAGGTGTCCCTCTGTTCTCACAGGGAGAATATAAAACTAAGTTATTTTAAAATAACTGTATAGTTTAAAGGAAGTTGTGAAACAAACTGACTTCAAGACTAATTGAACGGAAATAGCTCACCACAAAAGTCTGCTTAGCTAATGCAGAAAGGTGTAAACCAAGAATAAAGGGGATGCTTTCAGGAAGCATGACCTTTGGAATTTGTGGAGGCTTTGCAGTCTACAACAGTGAAGTTTGTTTTGTCTCAAAGAAACAGATCTACATCGAGGTATAATATCACTTTAAAAAAAAATCAACAAAAGTCACATGAAAATGTGAGACTACTACTAACTCTTTTCATTTTGAAAAGAAAGAGGAAGCAACACCATCACTTGCATTTTGAAAACAGTTTCATCAGCACTAGTGAAACTAACATGTTAAAAGTTTAGGTACTCAGCTCCTGTTCTGTAACAAATATACAGTGGTTGTAATTGCATCCATCTCATGTCTCTTATTTGCCCAGATGCATACAATTCTTCAATTCAAATTGAAATTAAATCCTAGATAGCAGTAACGGCGGAACCCCAGTTCACATAAATGTAACGCAACTATTAAGTGGTCTTCCTTTTATATTGCTATAAACTGAGTTTTATTCTTCAGCTACAAAATATCCTATTACCCACAGACAAATTGCTGTGAAGCCCACCTACAGCTACAGGCTCAGCAGGGAGCACATTTAATAGCCAGCAATTATATTTATGCAAGAAATTTTGCCTTCTCAGCAAAAGGAATAGAGAACCTATTTTATTAGAGATGTGACAAACCCACATTTTCAATACTTCTGCGACAAACATGTAATTGGTCTTGGTATTTGCTGACCACAGAATAAAATAAATTTTAATGAAAGAAAGCAATCTGGGCAGCAAAATACAGTTTTGCCACTATGAAAGAACCACTGGGAAACACTAGCAGGAGCGAGTCTAAAGTAATGTAAGGATGACTGGGAAAGAAGATGTAGTCAGCATGTTCTGGGGCTGCATAAAGATGCCCCCAGAGTACACTTCACATCACAGTTAGACACCAATGATCTTGATTTTCTTCTCTTTTCCTTCAGAAATATCATTAGAAGAAAAATAACATTACTTATGTGAGAAGATGTGATCTTTAATATCAATAAACTGTAAAAAGTGGGGTTTTTTAAAGACATCTGAGCAACTGCCAAAGAGCTACAATATTTGAAAAATATAATGTACATCTATTTTGGATTTCATTCTTCAAGTTTAGCAAAATATAGTAAATGTATCCCAGTAGGTCTGCAGTTAGCGTGACTGGTGTGTCCCTTCATCAGTTAAACACGTTAAGCAGCTTTTTAACTAGTAACTAGAAGACTTATAGCATTACAATTTGAACTCTTCAGAGCCTTTGCAAAATGCAACTGCTTTGCCTCAGAAGGTTTTATCTGTACAGCAGATCATTCCTGAGGTAAGGCCCAAAGGTTAGAACTGTTAATATAAAAAAAGAGAGACACAAAACTCCTAATAAAGTCTAATTTTGAAATTCTTGCCTTCAGCTGAGTAACATGATCCTGCATAATAGGAGTCATCTGTGACTGTTTAGGAAGTAACTATAAGTTAGAAGGGATTTTAAAGCTTTGCTCACTACTCAATACTTAAAATTGCAAGTTGTCTTTGCAGTACTGAGCACATTTACCATACTTGTATTATTAATCTTGCTAACACAAGCAGATTGAAAGCAGTAAGATCTCCAGTGAGAGTTCAAGCTAGTATGAAGGAAGGAAACAGTTAATTAACCCTAACCCTTAGACCGTCTACAAGGAGTATGTAGTGATCAGATCAAGCAAAACACTTCAAATATTAGTGGAGCAGTAACTTCTGACCACATAAGAAAATAAAGAAGCCTCATGACTTGTGATCTCAAACAAGCCTAACCATTACTTCAGACCAAAACGCACAACCTTTCTCACACACAACCTCGTATATACCTATAAAAAATCATCCAACCCATGTCTAAAAAATAACCAAGCAGTTGGTTATTGACACCATACTAAAGCAACATCTTTCAAGCACACATTTGTCCACCTAGCTCCAAATGAAGAATTACAGTATGCAGTTACCCAACAGTGTTAGTACTGAACTGGATATCAGATGCCAAGTTTTCACAGGAAAAGACCCTCCAGAGTAAGGAGATAATCGCATAATAAGTCATAAACCAACTAAATCCGTTCATCCTGAAAATTTTTAGGCGTGGAAGCAGGGAGAATCTGTCTAGAGTGGAACATCCACCTACCCCAAGAGCGAGGTCTCATCACCCACCTTGTCTCAATGAGGTAAGCAGTGTATGTTTCTTGCATGTTCACGGCATTTTTTGGCATTCCTCCCAGTCCGTTTTTCAGCTTCTGAAACAGTGATTTCCATTTTTTTTGCCAAACAGTCTTCCATCTTTTTAGAGGAAGAAAATAAAGACTCATGTAACATCAGCCATGCAAGACAAAGGCTACTAACCCTGCCTCCCCTTTTCCCACACCACATTTGTTCAAATAAGACAGGTCTCTATAGGATAAAGGCTTTGGCAGGGCTTCATTTTATACCTGTATTCTGTATCACATTTGCAAATGAAAACAGAAAACCTGCTGGGGGGGGCGGATAAAGTTAACAAATAGACAACTTCAGACACCAAAAGCTGTCATGAGCTGGGAAAATACAGAAAGAAATATTTTTCTTTACAGGTAACAAAGTAACTTTTTTAAAACAAACAAATAAACCAACCCCTGCACTTCCTACCCAAACATTTCCTCAGGGCACCTAGGACACACATAACCACCTCTCCCCTTTCACAGGAAACAGAATACATCCGGACTGAGATGTTTTTCTTCTAATCTCTCAGAGAATGATCGTTATCTTTTACACATTGGCAGGCAGAAGTCAGTCAGGACCACACGCCCACTCTGGAAAAGCAGAGCTCTGGAACATCCAGCTGAATTCAGCAGGGAGGGGCATTTATTTGTGAAACTGGCAAGGGGCAACAAATTAAGAAAATAAAACTAGAA